GGAAAAGGCGTTAACGCAGATATTACAAGCGTAAGAGCCCCAGTGTTTTGAAATACGAGAGGAATCGGAATTACTTAAAAATCCATTCGAAATCTGCTACTTGCCACGCGAGCTAAACGAGGCAAAGTTTCTGAAAACTTTCCGTTAATTGACATTTAGTGTCTCTTGTGACTTAAAAGGTGTACGATTAAAAAAGGGGAATCACGAAACAGCGAGTTTGGATTCGAGTTCGGGTTCGAATTAGACTTTAAGCTGGACTTCGAGTTGAAGTTCGAGTTAGACTCCGAGTTAACTATTTAGAAATAATAATGATGCAATATAATAAATAAATTAAAAAGATATATATGACCATTATTAAAACAAGATGTAATAAAAAATAACAACAGCAAAAAACAAAATTATAGTTTCAGCGCACGGTAGGTCTCGAAAGGGGAGTGGGGGATATATAGTATGGAGGGGAGAAGTAAGAGGGCTAGGGAGAGAAGAAAGGCACGTCTGCTATATGAAAAAAAAAACCAAACCAAAAAAAAAACAATCGTCGACAGGCTCTCAGGACTTTTAGCTCATTTTATAATGCCGCTTGCCTAGACCATTTTCTCGATTAAATTAACATCACAGGTGATAATTTTGCTGAAATTATTGAAATCGCTTGGACCTACGTTAGCTTTCTCTCTAGAGTATTTCTGCTTCAAAATATATTAACGGCCTGCAGACTTCAAGGTAGACCGTGTTGATACCAAATATTTGAGAGGGCTTTCGCCTTTGGCTAACAGTAAGTGAGAAAACACAGCTGGAATCCAGCTGATAACAGCAAAGGAGAAACACAAAGCTAACAGCTTCTTAGCCTATCAACAGTTAACCTATGAAATCAAAATCGTTTTATTTTTATTGTATTTGGGTAACATATACTAAAAAGTTTTAATACTCCGCCAGTAACATACCGGTAAAATGTTTGCCCAATGCTCGCTTATACAGCGTTTCTGAGTGACTGTTAAAATTCAGCGGCGAAATTGGACCGCGCGTGTTCCCCGGGGGCTGGGGGGGGTGTACTACCATGTATGGGCTATATGGGTATGTACGCTTTGAAGGGTATGGTTTTCAAGCAGTTTACTCCAGGGTAGCCTCTAGAATAGGGTATCATTTTTCAGGAAACTGATCAGTTGGTTGAAGATTTTATCTAGACTAGGGATTGTCGTATAAGGTTTTGTTTTGGCTAGACTGTGCTAGTGACCTCAGTATTTTCTGGAAAACAGCTACTCTAGGATAGGGGCGATTTGGGGAGTTTACTCTAGCATAGGGTAGCGAAGTTCAGCTGAACTAGCTCTGGTATAGGTTGAGGGTTCCAGGGTCCTAGCTGCACATCCCCACCCAGAAATTCCTAAAGTACCCCCCGGGGGCGTGTTCTCAAGCGAGAAGCATTGTAATGATGAGCGGTTCACAGATAGCGATAAATGTACAGACTTTTCCATTTTAATAGAGGAAACGGATTATAAAGATACTGTCTTCAGAAATCACAAACAACTAAGAACGTTGTTAATTACATTAGTATGAATTTTCGTCCCAAAAGAGAAAAAAGTTCTGCAAACAAAGAGTACCACAGCAAACACGGTTGGAAAAAGCTGGCGTGAAAGAAAAGGACACAAGAACAAAACGACACTTTGTAATCCCTTTTCCATCCTTTACAATAGGTGCGGTTATACTGTTTATACAAAATGACGACAGCCAAATCCTGCTGTTTTATTCAAGACAAAAATATAGACATGAATAACAAAACAGCAAAGAGAAAAGCGACTTGAGGTTTCCCGATTACATTTAGCTAAGTTAACCATTTTACCCTTGCGCAAATGGCTTTTACCCAGAAATGTAACATGTGTCATTGTGTGAGCGGTTTTTCCCAAGGTGAAATTCCCTGGGGGAAATTTCCATGGATACGTCAAAAAGAAGAAAAAAAATTACCCTTTGCCAGTTTTAAAAGTTAAATTTTTCCTTTGGTGGCCATCTGGCGACCAAGGGATTTTTTGGCCGCCAAATTAAATACATATTAATAATTAAAGTCTTAATTATTAGTTGATAATTAATTAAAAATCTGCCAGTTATATTTTTTAAAAAACGTTTGCCCAATGGCCCCTTACATAGCTTTTCCGAGTAACAGTTAAAATTCAGCGGCGAAATTGATCATTTATTGCGATCAAAATTAATTGGACAGCGTGTTCTCGAGCGAGCAGCATTTTAATGATTTAGTAGCGGTCCACAGATAGCGATAAATGTACAGACTTTTGCATGTCCAATTTGGAAACATTAACGATACTATCTTCAGAAATCACAAGAAACTAGGTTGTTAATTATTATGAATCTCTTCATCCAAAAATCAAAAGTGAAACTGAACAGTTCTGTAAACAAATAAAATTGCAGCCAACACGGTTGGAAAAAATCGTAAGTGATCAGTAATCCTTTTTTTTTCATCCCTTACAATAGGTGCAGCTACTCTTCTAGCTATTTTACCCCTAGGTAAATGGCTTTTACCCACGGAAATGGAAAATTTTGACAGTGCGTGACCGATTTTCCCGAGGTGAAATTGTCTCAAGGAAATCTCCATGGACACGTCAAAAAGAACAAAAAAAATTCCTTATGTCCGAGTTCCCGAGGTATGTTATATAGGTTAATAGGAACCCAGACTGGCTCCAAAAAATCACGGAAAAAATGTACCCAAAATTAGAAATCAGGTGTTGTTAACGTGCTGTGTTCGTCTTGGCTGCAAGGGGAGCTCTGGGGAAAAGGCCGAGTGCAGCTACACTTTATAGTTCTCTTATTCTTGCGTTTGTAATGTATTATCTTCAAGAAAACACGCATTTTTAAGAATTCCCACCACTCTCTCTCAGAGCCTGCCACCACAAAAACTACCATGAGAAATAAAGATCACATTCAGCGTTTTTTCCATCTCTGTAACATTACGAGGGTATTTCGCCTCTGAGGTAATGACTGCGCCGAAATCGACCACATGATTTCTTTCTTTTCGCCAGTGAACTAAACGCACGCGCAGTTTAGAAAGCATTCGTCGATTCGTGAAGAAAAATAAAACAAGAGAAGATCTATACTTGGCTCTCCGTAAAAGAAACGCTGAGTATTTAGTTTAATCTGGCTATATCATGTAAAACGTCTGAGAAGGCGTTCATCATATCATGTAAATATAAATTAGAACTGTCGAATGTTTGCGGTAGAAAAGGGAACTGCTTAACGCCAGCGACATAGATCCCACCAGGGGGGGGGCTACTTCCCATACATTCTCTTAAATGAAATCCAAACGAGCTATCCAAACGATGTTCTCACAACTTGCAAAGCGATCAGCAAGGGTCTTGCCAGCGGATTTGTGTACTGATCATGCGCATTACGTCAAAAACCATAGTTCAACGGTCTTGAGAAAAAACAAAAACATGGCATCCGAAGGCGGGACTGTTTCTCACTATTATATTTTGGTAATTTGAAAATTTATTGATTTTATGTCGCTTTTCAGACAAAGTGTGTGTTTTTCTTTTTCTGTTAAACGATTTCCCTTTGCAGAGTTTGGAATATGCAACATATAGCTAGCTCGGTATATCTGCTAAGAAAAGGCCGCCGAAGAGTTGAGCTATCGAGCAGTGTTTTGCTACAAACCTTAGGAAAGTTAAAGTCGCTTCAAGGTACAGAGCTTTCAGCACTAGTTGTGATTTGTTTTAGGATCGTTTTGAATTTTAAATTTGGATTCAAGGTGTTGACTGATCGAAATAAACGAAGTGAAATCTTATGAAGTGTTAATTTTTATTCCGTTATGACATGTAGAGCAGTAAGCTCATATTTATAAAGCTCTCTCGAATATACTTGCTTCCGATAAATTTGACACTTGCTCCAGTAATTTTTATCAGCATCAAGTTATCCTTGCCCGGCAAAAACGATGTAACCTATAAATAAATCCATCGAGCGCGTTGTTGTTGGTTAAGATCTAGCACGGTTGCGTTTTAGTTTCCCCCGCATTTCAGTACCGAAAGACAAATACGATAGGCAAGAAAAACAAAGATGCATGATATGATTTTTTTCAATTTTTCAAGCATTTCTGACTCCTCTGCCGGTTCGCTTTAATTCTTGCTTCTAAAATATATACTGTGGGAAAAATACTGTAATTATCCGCTGACCACCACGCTGGGTGACCGCTTTGCAAGTTGTGAGAACATCGTTTCTCGGTCCCAGACCTTGTCTCTTCCCCCCCCCCCCGCCCCTCTGGATTCCACATTTCAAAGCCGTTTGTTGATCCAAGGGTAAGCTCAGTGTAAATCAGTCCACCTAACTCGAGCAGTTCAAAAGCATTACCCATTCATTTTTTTTTCCGGTACATAAAAAAGGAAGCTGTTTTCAGGTCTTTGCATTTTATTTCATTCTAAAGAACGATCCGTCTACACCGTAACAGTTTTGTATACTTAAATGGCTCCATGACTGAATTAACCCAATTATGAATTAAATTTAAAAGAAGCCCTAATTTTAGAATTCTCAAATTTAAAGATTAAGCTTTCCGTTCAGTTGAAGCCTTCGCCACCACTGCGGCTTCCTCACAGTTAATGCTTTGGACCAAACTTCAGGCGAAATCTATTATTTTCTCTTTGCTGCATTAGCTCAATAATATGTGCCAACTGGTGAAAGAATTTTTCGCAAAGGTAAAAGAAATTAGTTGAGACACTTTTCCCTAAGATTTCTTTCTGACGCTTTGTTGCCTCGACCTCTCCATCCGTTATTGTGCGGCTGTTAAAGCTACCTGTGAGAAACAACAAGCATCCCAACTTTGAATGGAGAGGAGGGGCAGGGATGGGAGTGTTTTTTGTTCTCAGAAGTACTCTATTTGATGACAGTGTCTCAACAATTTTGTTGCCGATTGTAGCTATAATTGAACTAACTTATGCATATTGATCAGCGTGATTATAGTAGACAAAACTAAATGTTCCAAAGACCATGTCCTACAGTAAAAACCTAACGTTTTAAGAAACCATCAAACTCACAACGGTCTTGGCAGTGGCTTTCGACGTTCGACCAGTTACAGTGACTAGCACGCTTGCTGCGGTTCCTGGGGCGGCCAAAGGCGATGCGGTAAAATACACGTAAATGATGGCCAGACGGTCTTGGTAAACGAGGCGTGATCCTTGATAGTGAGCGTTGAAAACTGACCTACCATCAACTGAAACATCAAACATTTCGGTAAGACCAGCGTTGTAGACGAAAAATGTGATTGATTCATTGGTGTGTTTGGGAATCGTGAATTCACTCTCTGAATAGATGGCTTTGACCATTACATGGCTAGGTTGTATAGTGATCTTGGAATTGCGTTCAAAGTCAAAGTTTTTCTTGGTCTTTCCCCTCAGTTGCAACTTGAAGGGGGCTGAGGGAGTAGCAAAGGTGGCTGAGTAATGTGCTTTACTCGAAGTTCCAGCTGGTCTGACAGACGCTGTGCGAAGGACGCTTCCATCTTCCTTCAGGATGTTGAGGTACAGAGATGATAACTGTATCTTATCAGCCTCTCTTACTATCAAGACGACATGCGCGTATTTTCCTGAATATAAGATAAGGAAGAAACGTTGGATCAATTTGGTCTTCTAGAAAATGGCCCACCTACCCCTCTCCAAACCCAACGCGTGTTGACGTTGAGTTAGGGGAGGGGTAGGTGAAAGTCCACAGCACAACGTTTCACGTCACCGAGCTAAAAATGCATTTTAAGTGGGAAGAACCTTAAGTTTAACTTCACAAATTTTGTGATGAAGGTAACACTTAATTTCTTATTGGGTTTATTCCTACCAACCTGAAAATTGAACGGGCTGTTTCAAAGCTCAGGAACAACGGAGAAGTTTGCGCTGGACTATTCGTACGCCGGAACCATAACTACACGTTTAAAAAGAATTTTAAGATTCAAAAGTCCGATTGTCAAAAAAAAAAAGAATAATAAAAATATAACGAGAAAGAAACTTAACATCCATCAGGTTTTCTTTAGAAGAAAGGCATTGTAAGTTTTCTCTTTTTCAAAGTCTATGTAGTTTAAGTTCATGGATTGCACGGTAATAATGATAATGATGAGTTCTTCTCTCCACACATATCATTCTATTTATTCTTTGAAATAATAAATGCTGATTAAAGTCTCACCAGTAAGGGGATGTGATATTGGCATAGGCGTTCCTCTTACTCGAGGAATGACAAAGATGAAGTCGAAATCCATGTTGGTCTTGCTGGTTGCCTTGAATTGATATGTGTGTTTTCCAGCGTCAGGTGGTACAGTTAGCGTCCAAAGTCCAGGCTTTGGGTTAGCCACCTCGAATATTGTCACCTTAGACACCGTAGTCTTTCCCACTGAATTTCCCAGGGGATCTTCGAGTGTTATTTTTGGAGAGCTGTTGGCACTAGAGATCGATACAATTATTTTGTCCATTGTGTCATCTACCATCAATTTGTATTTCTTTGCAGCAACACTCCGTTTCTTCTTACCAATCGATAGCGCTTGAAATCCACTACCACAAGTTGTCCCTTCAAGGAGCACTTTTGTAAATCTCTTCATCTTTGCGATCTCAGACCTTGAATTTGGCAGCTCAAAAATCTGACCACAAGTATGGCTTGCAAGTTCCTCGAACGGCAGGTAATCGGCTTCCTTACCACAGCCCTCCGTTAGAAAAAAATAAACAGCTATACCTTGAAATTCTGCTTCTTGCTTTGCTTTCTTTAACAATGAAACGTCTTTCGGTGGTGCATCTGTAAAAACGTACAAGGGTGAATCGCTCTGAGGACCTTCATTCAGGGCTCCCCGAATTCCAGTGAAGGCCATCTCCTTACAGTCTCCTCCGCCACTTGCATAAAGGGTATCAATTTGGTCAATAAATTCGTTTCCTTTTCCAACACCTTTCTTTATGGCCCTGCCACTTTCTGAGGAGTTAAAAGATAGAAACTACGTCTAACGTCTTCATCTTTGGTAATATATAAAGTTAGCCAAGTATTAAGTCGAAGCTCCCGTTAAAAAAGTTGAGCCTGCGATCAACCGAAAACTAGTAACTTGTCAGCTGAGAACTAAAAAAAAAAAACTTGTATCCTCGATGGGTCAATACCTGAGCCCCCATCGGTCATGTGATTCTCGTCAGCGGATACCTTTCTTTAGCAGCTGTCAAATGACCTCAACATGGATGTGCAATATCAGGTTGCAGGCTCCCATACCAGATAGAAAGTGTTATATTTCACATTGGTTTCCCTGTGGTGCGGACGGACGGACAGGCGGACGTAAGGTCACGTGATTATCAAAATTCCTTGGCTGGATAGATTACCACATTTTCTTAGTTATAGGGCTCCCCTCGTGCGTGGAGTTCCGCTACGAAAGGTTTCTTTGTTTGTCATGAGAGGGTTAAATAACCAGTCTGGAGTTATATTACTGCTAATGATTTCATTTTCAGCGCAGTGAGTGGCTGTGTGACATGGAGATTTGAGTGGCAATATGAAAATTGTGCCGTCACTGATTAGTGTTCTTAAAGTGATTCAGTAATTTATCATCAATGAGTTTAAAATTATTCAAGACAGTGTTCAGTTTATTAGTTTTATTTCGGAATTTATGTTGGAGGGGGACGAGATGGTGGGGTGGGGCTTGGCGCTTAGTCATGGCGGTTAGCGGGAGAAAAATTGATTGGAAATTGTAGTTGGCCGTTCGAGACAAATTTATAGACAACCTTACAGGGGAAAACCGTACTACTGGGATTAACATTCCTTAGATGTTATTTCCCGCCCATTAAACACTTACTTTTCACATGTAAACTAGTAAAGATAACTTTAAGGTCACTACGTTTTAAGTCGTTTCTAATTTTGAGGAAGTTTTTGTTGACTCTTTATGGAAAGAGTTTTATGCAATTCTTTTTTTAGCCAGGTATATGGCTTTCTTTCATAGGCGTTTGTTCGACATTTACATTTATCAAGCCTTGAATAGTACTTCATTGCAACTGAAAGATTGTTTTAAAGCAGCTGTTGGAACCCTTCCAACAAATTGCACATCGAATGCCAGAAAAGAAGGAACTGTTTTTAATCTGTTGAGGATACTTTCGATTACTAAGTGTATAAATTAAGAACTCACAAACCTGGGTCGCTAAAAGGCGACAAAATGTAATCCACTTTTAAATTTGGCCTCGGGAGTTTGACGATGTAAGTTGCTATATCCTTGACTGCTTGAATTTCTTTATACATACTTCCCGTGTCATCCACCGCAAACATAAGTGTTACCTTATTCATGTTTTGGTTGCCAATAAATTTTTTAAAATTGTCTTTTCCGATGGCCCTTTTGATTGATCGCATCATTTTCTTAACTGCATTGACGCATATTGCACATCGCTTTGTACGACGCGAAGTCAGGGAAGAGTGCTTGCTTTTCTGTATGTTGATGGTAGTGTAGAGCGCATGACCAAGTGCTTGGCGAAGAAATTTTCCTTTGCCATACTGAGCGGCAAGTTTGATGATGCCTTCGATCTTTTTCACTCTGGCTGGTGTTTGGAGGTAAAGAGAACGATGGGCCTGGCTCTCGTAAACTGCTTTTTCTATTTCTTCCACGTTTGTCAGCAGGCTGTTGGACGGCGACGAAGCTGATTGAAAAAATGGATGGGAGAATGGATGGAAGAAAAAAGTTACGTAATGCAAAGAAGTATAAGCATGCATTTTTGTACCTCACAAAACATGACCTTGATATGATAAAAGGGCAGTACTTCAAAAGAAAGTATAATAACAAAAAAAGCCTCGACTACAGATATAGTTGCGTTCTCGTAGCCGCTGTGCACGCCAGTATCCAACACCCACCTGCTGTTTCTGCAATATAAGACAGCAACGCCTTTCTAGTGTCAATCAACGAGTCAACATGATATTGGTAATTGGGTAATCGAGAGGAAGCCAAGTTACTCTGATGGAACAAAAGTATAACCAAACACAAAATATTCGGTGTGAAATTGCAAACAATCGACTTTTTCTGTACCTTGGCCATTGTGTACTAGCAGGAGATCTCTGCTGTATGATGTCCTTTGGTTTTCTCCTTGCCTTTTATAACCCCGGTAACTGCACACACTTCCTTGTTATCCGCGCTTCAGAGCATCCAGAAGATGAAAATTCTTCCTTTCTAGCTTCCGGTCTAATTGATATGCTTGCATGTGATTTCTACCCGTCGTCAGCTATTGGTCCATTCGGGAGTTTGCATTTTTATACAAAATTTCGAAAACTTCCTCGTTGTTTTTGTTGTTATTTTGTACTAGGCAACAGGGGTGGGTTAGGGGCTGGGTAACTGCATGCCATATTCAGGTCCCCCCCCTCCCCTAGTGATAAATATCCGTTTAATTTGAGAATACAATGTAAGTACTTATCGGGTCACATTTCCAATTACCAACTTGCTACTCTCAACGATTCGGTCGCTTGTTCAATCTTCCTACGTAGCACCTCTCTTTTGTAGACCGTAAAATTGAAACTCTCTCATTTCAAAGTTCTTAAGCATTTTTTGGCAAGTAGAAACAGAACCTAAGAAGAAAAAACAGCTTTTTTCTTTCTGTAAGTATGTCCCTCTTAATTAAACTAAAATCAGTGTGTCACAGATTATCTACAATCAGCCAGTACCCTAGCTAAATCGTACTCAAAGATCGGAAAAGATAAACCTCTGTCCAACCAGAAGTCCAAACATTAGCCCTTGAGGAACACCCTTCTCGCTCACCTCCTGACTGTGATCTTGACAAAAGTTTAGAGGCCTGTCGAGCACTGAGCAACACTCTCCCCTCCAACACTTCCCTCCCTTTCCTTCCCAACCACGATCACTTCAAGCCTTTTCAATCAGTCATCGAGACATATCATCAAAGAACTATCATAACAAATCATTATTCCAGTAGCTTTATTTTGCTGACAAACTGTGTAGTACAACTTTCCGTTGTATGAGATATTTTTAATTAGTCATTCAAACTCTAGCCTATAATGTCACATTTCATTTAATTCAGATTTTTCCAGGAATACAGGACTAGTCAGGAAACTCAACCAAGCTTTTTCTGCGTTTCAGTTTCAACGGATGTAAACAGTAACAGTAGTAGCAGTAATGATAGCTGAAACTGTGTAACTTGATCATTTTTGGACTAGAGCTTTCTTGACAGGAGACCAAGCCAGTGGTTTACTCCACGTGGAGAGACTCACAATACGTGGATGCTTCCTCGAGGTTCATTATCGCGGTACTCTAACGTGTAACGAATTTAACAGCTTACACGGTATTTGAACTGTGAAAACTAATACGTTGCACAACTGGTCAGGATAGCATCAGCCACGGTACTTACATGTAACCACTTGCAATTCACCCTGCCTCAAGCGCTGTATTTAGTTCATGCTAGACAGTGTACAAAATTGATTGTTCTTTAGAGAGCGTTACATTTAGGAAGCAACTCACAATTTCGTCAAAGCACTGAAATGCAAATTATGGTCTAAAAGTTAGCCCAAATATTACAGGAAGAGCCGATAGAGGGAAGCAAATAAATTGTCCTCCTAAACGTTTATAAAACAAAAGCCGGCACTGTGCCCTATCAACGTAGATCTCTTTCATAGAGCGGCTTGGAAACATCTCCGACTAATGACAATAGTTCCAAATACTTACGTCAACCATTGCTGACAGACAAACCTGAAAGATGCTAAGTCTACGCCGATTTTGAGGGACAAAATTTGAGGAAACAGCATCGTGGTCTGTTTCATGCGCTCAAAGGCTGCATCAAATTCAATTTAAATGATGTTGGTGTCAGTGAAAGATCGGACTTAAGAGTTAACCCTTTCCAGGGTGGACTAATTAGCCCCCTACCCTCCCCCTAACCATTATCATGATGACAAACTAAGTTTCTGAGGAGAAAAAACTGCAAAAAAAGTTGTTAGCATTACTTTGCTCACAGTAGGTTCCGCGATTATCCTTATATACGATATTTTAGCAACACAGTCTCGCTTCTTTTTCCAACTATTTTCCTAAATTTATGATGGTACAGTAGCCTAGGAACATAGGCTTGCATGCCTCGATGACCCCGTTTCAGCTTGAACGGATGTTTACTAGTTAGGCGGGCTCAATTAAATTCAGGGCTTCTGACAGGTCACGGAAGGAAAAGTCAAATTTCCCGGAATTTTTAGGGACAAATTCGTGGAAAAATCGGCCGAGTTCACGGTAATTTCGCGGGAGTTTTCGGGGCAAACTTCACCAAAAGCATCGGTAAACAGCGGCCGATTTTGTGGTTATCTTCAAGGCAAACTTTGCTAGAAATCAATCGGTTTTGCAGTGATCAGACCAGCTTTTTTAACGTTTTTCTAACAGAGGTCATCATTTGCTCTTTAGACAAAAATACGCTCCAGAAATGAACCAATGGCAAAGCCTTTAACATCATGGCTAGTGCCCAGTTTTTCGCAACATAATACACGACTTTCATAATGGCGGACCGCTCGGGCGGAGTGGGAACGAATCACATCAGAGCGAGGCAAGTAAGGCCACGGTAACCAAAACAATCCAAAACAAATCGAAGCGACGCGACGCGACGCGAAGCAATCTTACGGATTTATCTACAGCTGGCATCTAGCATGAAATATGTCGAGTGAATCGTTTCTAGAAGAGCAAGATATTCCTGGTGCGTCACTTTGCGGTCGAAAGCCGTCTGAATTAAAGAACGAAGAACTTAAATTTTGGTTGAAATGTAGAGGTGATCCGGGCAAAGGCCTCAAAACCAAAGCTGAACTTGTAAAGAGGTAAGACGGCGAATCGCTTTGTAATCTTACTTATATTCTACCGGTCACTTGTAAGATTTGTTCAAGTTTAATAATCACCTGATTTCTTTATCAGGGTAGAAGAGTATATCAAGACTGGAAAGGACAAAAATATCGTGGATCCCGATCCAAATGGTCTGTACACTAAGCGAAAACAGCAACGCATTGGAATCGGAGCTACATCAAGTGTTACGGACTCCTCAAATGGTGATGCTAACAAACCGTCTGTCAAGTATCCCTCTGATGGATGGAGTACGTCTCTTGAAAAGATTCCTATGTTCACTAGGGCAGAAATGAACGAGCACATAGCCAGATCGGGAAAAAGTATTTCCAATATTCAACATCATTCTGTGCCAACCTCCTTACGAAAAGCGAAGACATTCCTCGAAGATGAATATCTAAGAGAAATAACTGCCGCAAGTGATGACCGCTGTTTTTATTTTCAAGCCAAATGCTGCCATAGCTTTAGAAAGAACGATCCCCCACATCAATTAAAACTGGCGTTGTGTATTTTCAAGGGAGACGTTTTAGACAGCAGCTGTACGTGTGTCGCAGGAAAGGCTGGATTTTGCAACCGTATTTCAGCCTTGATGTTCAAAATTTGCAAGTGTACCCTCTTTGAAGCGAAGACTACCAAGGATCTATGTCAAGAAAAGGACGAGAATCCAGAGTTGGCGTGTACATCTCAGCTTCAAAGATGGCACAAAAAAGGAGGCGGCGAAAACATAGTTCCCCAGCCAGTTATGGAGGTTTATGTTACCAAAACGAAGCTTGATGAGCCCAGCAGTTCAAGAGGATCAGGTGGTGTGAAATGTCTTCTTTATGAAGCCCGAAAGCAGCCACATTATGACCCCAAGAAATAGGCATCTTTTAAGACAGAACTTGCTACAATTGACCCAAACATGGGTTTTGCTCATTTGAGTAAAAGTAACAACTCAAGTGGTGAAACAGCACAGACAAAATATGGAGAGACTCCTGTTGGCTCTTTTCTAAGCTACCAGGTGTCATTCACGGAGTCTAACTTTTCAGCAGAGGCAGATTTAAAGGCAGTACCCCGGAATAATGTGCTTTCTGACAGCATAACAGCATATCCAAGGTTTCCCTTAGCCAATGAAAATCCTATGGTTACCCCTCGAGAACTGAGTAGTGAGGAAGCAGCTTTGTTATCACATTTATCTGTGGATGAAGACAAGGTGAACACAATTGAAGCTACCTCAAGGGAACAATCAGAGTCTGAAATCTGGAAAAAGGAACGCACTTATCGATTCACTGCGTCAAGTTTTCAGCTGATCGCCAAGCGGCAACGAAATCATGAGAGCTTTGCTCAATCGATTATGCATCCAAAGCCCTTTACTTCAAAGTATGTTGCTCATGGAATGAAGTATGAACCTGTTGCTCTCAGAGAGTATGAAAAATTCATGTTCAACAGGAAAACACCTGTTGCTGTACTTAAAAGTGGATTTGTTGTATCCGAAGCATTTCCTGTTCTTGGCGCATCACCCGATGCCAAAGTTATTGACTTTGGATGCTCTATTTGTTTTGGTTTAGCTGAGGTGAAATGTCCTCATACCAAGTTCCATGTGACCCCCCTTGAGGCATGCTCGGACCCAAATTTCTTCATGGAGAAGAGAAGTGACACACAATGTAGACTTAAAAGGGACCATGCCTACTATGGCCAGGTCCAGGGACAGATGGGTGTGACAGGTGCAAAATGGTGCGATTTTATTGTGTACACTAGCAAAGGGATTTACATTGAACGAATTGCATTTGATCCTGTCTACTGGGGTAACCTTAAGAATGAACTCCTGCGGTATTATTTTGAACATTTCTTAAAATTTGCATCAGCAGATTTTCACAACTCTGCTTAAAGTACTTTAAGTAAAGTTTTTATTACTTTACTTATACTCTTTTTTCTAAGTTCATGGGCTAATTTTAATATTATTTAATCCTTTGAGCCCTAATATTAAATAACTAGTGTTAAATTTGTCCTTAAAATTTTGTTGCTTTATTGAAGAAATCAATTATTATGCTGGTAGTCTCATTATTGTAAAACACCGTGCATTATTCTACCAGTTTTTACTGTGGGAACATTATAATCTGAAGACCAGAAGCAGTGTTATTTGTTCTTTAATATCCTTTATTGGTCTATTCTTTCCAACAAGTTTATTAAATATGGAAAGTAAATGTGAATTTTCTAAGGTGAGCATTAATGGTTACACCATTGTCCAAAATTAAAGAGTAGCATGACAGAAATACCAAAATGTAAATTTGTCAATACACAAAACAGTTTAAATAGAAATAATATTGGATTGGGCATTGCATAAAATTGCACAAACTGCCCACATTTGATTTACAACACCAAACTGGTGGAGAGGTACAACCCCGTCCCAAATGTGAAAATTTTTTATTTTGTTAATTGCTCGCTCAACATGTATGCGTAGACTGGCAATTTCTTGAGTGCGCACTACATCAGTTGCTGGCATTTGTGCAGAGCTACCGAGGAAGGGTGGGATGTTTAGTGATACTCCCAAAGGGAGCAAATCCTGTATCGTAAATCCCTTGTCAGCCATGATAGAATATTTTTCCTGGAATGGCAAATCTAACAATCCACTTCTTACTACTATTTCCCTATCAGAAATACTCCCAGTATACAAATGGCTAATAAAAGTAATTGCTCCACCAGGGGAAATGCCAATCAACCCTTTCAGGGTTGTGTGGTGTTTATAGTTGCTAAATAATTCCCCATTTAAGTGGAGACTACTGGGCATTTGACATCTGACCTCAGTACAATCTATGATAACTCTGGTGGAACTGTATTTGTGTTTAAAATCTTCTGGCATGGTCTCATTTACCTCCCCACGTGTGGGCCAAATGTTTAGTTGACCAAGTTTCAAATACATAAAATTAATCCACGTTATAAAAATCCGACTGATTGTCGATAGTGAAACTTGAAAAAGATGTGCCAAATGTTCTTCAGCAAACCCTTGCCTCAGTCTGCACATGACTGCAAAAGCCTCGTCAATTGGTCTCAACGATCTTGATCTTCCTCTTTTTCTGAATAGTTCTTCATTTTCACCCTCATACACTGCTGCTGATACATTTAACTTTGAGACCCAGTAAGATATATTTTGCCCTTCATTTCCTGGATTTAAGTATTTGAAAACAGCATCAAATGTATCCCAGTTTGGAAAACCAGTATAAAACTTGATAGAGGAGTCATCACCTCTAAACCTATCGACTGTAAACATCTGCTTTTGAAGAGACTCAATGCGCTGATTTGCCTTCTCAAGTTTAGATTTTAGGTCAATCAATTGCTGATTCATTTCTGTTTCGCTGTTATCCGTGGACTCAATTTCATTTGTTTGCGTCGTCACATCCTGTTTGGTGATAGCATCAGTATCACTCGTTCCTCTTTGTTCATTGCATGTAGCGTTTTCTGTTTCTACCGTTTCTTCTACCGTTTCAATTTCGGAAAGGAGAACTCGGCTTGTTGCGGCAATTTGTTCGCGATCGGTGGGAGCTTTCCGCTTGCGAGGAGAGGTTCGAGTCCAAGGAAACAGCGATGGAACAGCATTCGATCGCAGATCTCTCCTACCGCTGAGCTTCTTGATAAAATCATACTCTCTAAAATGCCTTGAGCAAACTTTAGTCCATTCCTGTATCTGAAAATACACTCCCTCATCTCTTCTAATAGCGTGAAGCCATTTTTTCCGTCGAAGCGGATCATCTGGAAACTTGAAGTGAGAAACTTTTCTCCCATTTTCGTCCAGATAACCTTTCTTTGTACATTCAGGAACGCAGCAGCTCGTAGGCATTTTTCTTCCGATCAGCGATTGTTTAGCGATAAATTTCCCTTAGAGATAGTGAAGGTTTACCGAATTTCTACTTTTTTACGCCAAAGAAACTAAAACAACTCGACAAGCCAAATAAATTTGGAAGACATTTGCATGTTTTTCCACACGACCGCTTTCGGATATAAATATCGTGGCCTTACTTGCCTCGCTCTGATGTGGTTCGTTACCACTCCGCCCGAGCGGTCCGCCATTATGAAAGTCGTGTATATACGCCTGGTAGTTTCGAGATGTTGTTTGCACGTTTCAGAGAGGAAGTTCTGAGATAAATTTGCAAGTTTACGGCAAGTAAATAGCCCCAATAGCTGAAAAAAGTTTCAAATATGTTGTACAGACATGTACTTGATAAGATTTCTACCGAATTTCGCGGTATTTTTCTATGTTTTTGTGATTTTGCGCGATTTCTCGGATTTACCTGTCGAATTTCGCGGCACCACGACCGCGCGAAATATCAGAAGCCTTGATTAATGGCCTATTTATGACAGTAAGACCCCAACTCTGGAGTACAAAATCCGAATAATGCACTTCCGTGAAGAAAAAAATACCAGTGAGCAATATCTACTACGCAGCTAGTACTACAAATCCTTTTCAAAGATGACAAAAGCAACTTAACTTCTGTTCAACCACAATAGAGCCATAAACGTGTGTACCGGCTACTATCCACTCTGTTGGCAGTTATCAAATCGCTCTTTCTCTGTTCACAGATAGCCATGGTAATGGTAGTACTCTTCTGTTTTTAAGAGGTCTAAACAGACGGTTTTTTCCGCTCAAAGTTTACTTTAAAATATTGGTTTTGATAGCTAGGCAATAGGTTTACAGAACAATAGATTTATTGGAATCAAAACGTAACATTAACTTACGTTTGAGGAACATCCTTCTCGCCCACCCCTTGACTATTATCTCGGTAACAGCTAGTTTAGCCCTGTCGATTACCGAGAAACACCCTCCCCTCTCACGCTTGCTTCCCCCGCCCCTTGCCCAACTGTTAAACTTAGGTCTTTTCAATCGATGACATAGGATAAAAACATCATTATTCAAATAATTATTCTGGTAGCTTTATTTTGCTCAAACTACATAGCACAACTCTTCTTTTTTTTATAAGGTATTTTAGTGATTCAAATTCTCTCCTATAATTACTTATTTCTTTGAATCCACGTTTTTCCAGGAGTACAATCGGGAAGCTCAATGATCGAACCCTTTACTTCCTTTCAAATTCAGCGGATGTTTGGTATTTACCTGCTTGCTGATAGCTTATTAAGCCTTCATTCCGGTGATTTTTGCCACGAAGCCAGCTACCTTTTCCGAGAAAAATTTCCTTCCCAGCTGATACGTCACTTTTGACAGCGAGTAGTCAACAAACAGCACCAATGAAATCAAAATCATGTCTTACTTTGCATAAACACTACTATACAATAGCTGCATGAAACTGAATCAACAGTAGTAGTAACATATACAATAGCTGATGAAACTGTTTAATTTGAAATTGTTTTAGTACTAGAGCTTTCTGGAGAGAGTAGTTTACTCCACATGGAGCTATTCCTCCTCTGTGCAGGTGTGCTTCCTCAAGTTTTACTTTCGTACTTGAGCGGGGACCTTCCCCGTCCTTGAAGATGTAACAAATTCAATGACTTACGCGGTATTTGAACTGTCACAATCAGAAGGTAAAACGTTGGACGACTGGTTTGAGCATTAGCCACAATGTCTCATTGTTTGAGACTCTTTTTGTACTTGTTTTATACTATATATCATCACTTGCAATTCTAACCCTGCTCCCGGCAGTGGCTTACGCTAGAAAGAGTACAAAATTGTTTTCCTTTGAAAATCTTCAGTCCCCTTGTAATAATATTTTTCAATTTCGTATAGCTGGCTAGCACTCCCTCAGCACTTAAAAACTGCAAACTAATGTAAGGTTCAAAGTTGGCCCAAAATAGCTCATCAGAAGAGACCGATAGAGGGAATTACATCAGTACAATATCCTCCTAATAGTTTTTAAGAGAAAAGCCGCTGGAACCCCTGTCAACACGAGCATCCTATTGCCGTAGAAACCTTTGCTGACATACCAACCTGAACGCTTCCGTGACTCTTCCCTGATTTTAAGGGACAAATTCTGAGGGAATCGCAACGAGGTCCTTTTCATGTGCCCAAAGGTTACCCCATACTGAATTCAAATGATGTTGGTTTCAGTGAATGATAGGCTATAAGAAGACTACAAAATTCGCCCGTTCCAGTGTTGACAAATTGGCCCCTACCCTCCCCCTCATGACCACAAAGGTTGACTTACTGAGGAGTAAGAAAAAAAAAACAACTGTAAAATCAAAGTGTTGGTGGCATGCATTACTTTGCTCATACTAGGTTCCGCAACGATATTTCAGGGACACAGGCTTACTCCATTTTGAACTGTTTGCCTAAATTCATGTAATGCTGCAGGAGTTTAGTATAGGGACAAAGTCGCGCATGTTTCGATGACCCCGTTTCAGCTTGAACGGATGTTTACTTATTACATACTGGTGAATAACTTTGTAATCTGTCAGTTTGTGATGTTTTTTTAAGCTATCCACATTTTGCACGCCAAAATTTCTTTCCAGCTGAAACGTATCTCTGTACATGGGGACTTCGCTGTCAAGAAGCACGCCAGGGGTGCTTACCATTTGAAAGAAAATTTCGGAAATTCAGGATGGAAGGTAAATGGTAAGGTCACTTTTCGGAAATTCCAACCGAAAATTGACGAGTACGTTTTGAGGTAGTCCTTTCATTCCGGTTGGTACGAACCCAATGGAATGTTGCTTACCATTTACCAATAGTCTCGCTTCCTTGTCGGTTCCAGATTCACGCTATACAAATTCGCCCCCTTTATGGATTCAAACCGTAACGGATGTGGCACTCTGCGGTAACCTAATAAATCGCTTACCATTATGCTTTCGACACCCCAACCGGATTTTTCTGTCAAATGGTAAGCACCCCAGTTCTCTTGAGTCCCATAACGAATCGTGAAAAAGAAAAAGAGAATTAAAAATAAA